ACATGCCCTTGATCAGAATCGAATCCGGGACCTTTCAGTCTGCAGACCGATGCTCTACCACTGAGCCAAACCGGTTTCGGCACTTACTGACAATTTGTTATCCATGCTGTACAGCTTCCAAAATTTTACTTAGCAATCTGGACAGCTCAAAATGGTTTGAGAAACTTTTTTCTATCAAAAGCCACTGATACTCAAGGGGGAAAAAAAGACATCAAGTTAAAAAGTTATAAATATTTAGTGTTTGTGTATACATGTGCATGTTTTGGAAAGTAGGGTAGAGAAATAAATATACCAGCAAAGGATCTTCCTTTCCAACTTAATACAGTGATACTTATCCTATTATTTAAACATTTCCCAATTTCAATGAAAGTATAGACTTAAAATCCTCTATATACAATGAAAGAATATCCAACTTGTTGATTGTAAATAATCAAGTTCGAGATAACCCAGATCCTGTACTTTCTCTTATCTGTATACCCCTAGTTCACTGTCATTTACTATCCTATTGCAAGCACTTATTTTGACTCACCAAACATCAGAACAGAAATAAGCCAGGCAGGTGTGAAGCCTGGGCCTGCTGAAAGATGCTACACCTAGGAACTCATCTTTCAATCCAAGTCCCACAGTGAACACTCAACAATGTGCTGGGATTATCTGCTCCTATTACTTGCTCCTGATAAAAGCTGGCAGACATATATCCAAAGTTCCTGGATAAAGGGTGTCATCAGCAGATATAAGACCTTGTAAGGACCCAAGAATCCTTACTTCCTTCTGGAAGTATGTTGTGTTGACTGCTGAGTACCTTTTACTATTACAGAAACTTTACCCTCTCAAACCATCAGATGACTATATGTGAATGTAGAATTGTCCTGATATGACAACCATACTACTAGTACAAGCAAACTATCCCCAATATTAATCACTTTAAATCACTAGAACCTTCTCTTAGAAAGTATTACCCACTTAGGTGCTTTCCCTAGAATACATGAAACTCCAACAGAGGCAACCTCATTGCCAAAAATCTAGACTACATGGGCTTATTTGTGAAAAGGATAGAAACGGCTTATCATGCCATCATTATGAATGTTCCATGAACCTACAAGTTCACTTGAACACATACATCATCTCTCTAGAACTTTCTCTGTATGATTATTTAGAAACTAGAGGCCCGGTGCACGAAATTAGTGCGGGGGGGCGCGGGGGGGGGGGGGAGGGTGCCTCAGCTCAGCCTGAACCCTCTCCAATCTGGGACTCCCTAGAGCACATGTGTCAAACACAAGGCCCGCGGGCCAAATCCGTCCCGCCAGGCCTTGCAATGTGGCCCGCACCGCGCTGTCATCACTGCACTCCGCTGCGTTTCCATCACAATGACAGTTTATGACTGTTCAGTAAACCATTCGGCCCGCGATTTAGGCTGGATTTTAGATTTTGGCCCCTTCTCTGATTGAGTTCGACACCCCTACCCTAGAGGGATGTCCAACTGCCTGTTTAGGCCCAATCCCACCAGACATCCCTGTCACAATCCAGGACTGCTGCCTCCCAACTGCTTGCCTGCCTGCCTACCTGCCTTCCTGATTGCCCCTAACTGCTTCTGCCTGGCAGCCTGATCACCCCCTAACCACTCTCATGCCAGCCTGATTGATGTCTAACTGCCCCCAACTTCCCTCCTCTGCTGGCCTGGTCACTCCTAACTGCCCTCCCTTGCAGGGTTGATCACCCCCAACTGCCCTCCCTTGCAGGCCTGGTGCCTCCCAACTGCACTCCCCTGCTTGCATGATCACCCACAACTGCCCTCCCTTGCAGGCCTTGTCCCTCCCAACTGCCCTCCCCTGCTGGTCAGCTTGTGGACATCTTGTGTCCACATGGGGGCAGGATCTTTGACCACATGGGGCAGCCATCTTGTGTGTTGAAGTGATGGTCAATTTGCATATTACTCTTTTATTAGATAGGATAGAGTCCTGGTACATGGGTGGGGGCCGGCTGGTTTGCCCTGAAGGGTGTCCCAGATCAGGGTGAGGGTTTCCTTGGGGAATGGGGCGGCCTGGGCGAGGGGCCTGTGGTGGTTTGCAGGCTAGCCACGCCCCCCCTCTCCCCCCAACCCAAGTAGAGGCCCTGGTATCTGGAATTTATTTATCTTCTACAATTAAAACTTTGTAGCCTGGAGCAGAGCCAAATCTCCTGCTCGCTCCATGACAGCAACCATTTCTGTTGAAATTTATGTATCTTCTATAATTGAAACTTTGTAGCCTGGAGTGAAGGCCTGAGGCAGCCAGGGCTGCAAAAGGTTGGCTTCCTTCCTCACCCGGGGAAACCCTAGCCTCCTGCTCTTCCAGCTCAGTGGCTGCCACCATTTCTGTTGGAATTTATTTACCTTCCATAATTGAAACTTTGTACCCTTGAGTGGAGGCCTGGGCCCACCAGAATGTGTGAAAAGCTTGGCTTCCTCCATTGCCAGGGAAACTCAAACCTACCTCCTGCTCTCTGTGGCCGCAGCCATCTTGATTAGGGTTAATTTGCATACTCGCTCTGATTGGCTGGTGGGTGTGACTTGTGGGCATGGCTTGTGAGTGTAGCAAAGTGTTGATTAATTTGCATGTTACTCTTTTATTAGATAGGATGGAATTTGGAATAAAATCAACTTTTCTGAATCACCTATTGTGTGCCATGAATTGTGCTATCTACTTTATAAATCTTTCATTTAAGCCTAACAGCCCTTTCAGATATTTTCATTATTAATGTCTTTTCACAAATGAAGAAACCAAGACTCAGGGATGGTAAGTGATTTAACTCCAAAGTCTTAAAGTTACAGACAAAAAGTGAACCCAAATAAGTACAAAAATCTTTATAACCAGCTTTTTACCACTCTAATTGCTTTCCAAAGGAGTTGTTCTAACCTATATGATACTAAAATCAAGGGTACTTCTACTTCAATTTATTTTTGTGAGAAAATTGATGGCTTCAATGCACATTAGGGATTACCATGCCTGGAAACAAATTACTGTATTAAAACTAATACCCATTTTCATCTATCAATCAGTATCAAATCTCTCTTTACTAGTTAGACCTTGTGTAGTCAGAGAAAAAGCAGAAAATGTTTTGTTCAACCTCTATAACATCTTTGAATATTTGAAATATATAAGATGCTCTCCACATTTTAAAATCTATGAATAGTGATCTTTTTACAAATTTTCCCAGATAGATTTATGTTAGTCTATTTGGAAGTAAGAACCTTTGAATCTAAACTAATGAAAGGGAAATATGCTAATTAGGCCAGATAGACCTGCCGTCTTCTGGACAAAGCTGCAGCAGCTGTGAGGGCCAAGGAGAGCCGGCTGCTGTGGTGGCCAGCAGTGGCAGCAGCATTGGGGTGATGGGGTGGCACCTTCCCCTGACCAGCCTGGTCACCTTCTGCAGACAGAGGCCAAACTGTGCCTTAGGCCTGCTCCCTAGGGGAAAGTGGGCCTAAGCCACCAGAAGGACATCCCCTGAGGGTTCCTGGACTGGACTGTGAGAGAGGACAGGCCAGGCTGAGGGATCCTCCCACCCCCCAGTGCACAAATTTTCATGCATCAGGCCTCTAGTTTTATTATGAAACTAAGAGTTCCAAAACATGTAAGCTTCAATTTGCTGAAAGCACTGTAACAATGGATTCAAGACTAAAGTAGAAAACATTCTCTGTAAATTATATGTATTATATAGCCACATTAATATGAGGAAATGGGTAAATGGTAAAAGTTATCACTTTTAGAGTACTAATATGTGCCAACTATTTAGTACATGTGGTTTTATTTGGCATTTTACAAAAGCTTGTTTTGATTATTAACTCCATTTTACAAGCAAAGAAACTATAATAAGAAAAGTTCATACAACCTGCCCAAAGTAATATAGCTAGAAAGTGATAGAGCTAGAATTCAAAGCCCCATCTGTCCAAATCCAAAAACCTATGCTCCTTATTGCCACCATTTACTGCCTCCTTGTTCTTATCTGGTAAATATATCCCTGTCCACAAGTCTAAAACCAGTATAGAAATACATGCTTATTTAAACTTATTATTAATTACCCCCATTAATTTGTCATAGTTTTCTAATTGCCTGTTACCCTAAAATCAGCCCAGCTGGTTTGGCTCAGTGGACACAGAGTGTCAGCCTGTAGGCTAAAGGGTCCTGGTTCGATTCCGGTCAAGGGCACATGCCCCAGTTGTGGGGGCTTGCAGGAGACAGCTGATCAATGATTTTCTCTCATCACTAATGTTTCTCTCTCTCTCCCCCCTCTCCCTTCCTCTCTGAAATGAATAAAAAAATATTAAAATAAATTAATAAAGTAAAATCATTAAAAGTGCCTAAAAAAATTACCATTAGAAAAATTCAAGTAAATTTTTATAAAATTTTGAGGGGTCAAGAACAGATAAATTCAGATAGCAAAAAAATTTTTGTTGCTTCAGTTATTGTTCTTAAAAAACACACAAAACTAATGTTAACATGGTAGGCCAGAAAATAATTTTAAGTATTTAAAAAAATTGAAATACTGTAAACCACTAGCCTAAAGGCTGAACAAAAGAACTTTTTGCAAAATAAAATTACCATCAATACTTAATGAATGAATTATGGATATTATTATATTGTCTTTATCTAAAGTTTTATTATCAGTCAAATAACAGAAAAATGTAATCCTAACTTGGGCAATTTTAAACTTCTACTAGTAAATCGCTATTATCTTCCATTTTCCAGTTTCAAATTTCTTTATAAAGTATGTCTAAAAAATAAGTAACATTCCCCCAAAATCAATTCTTCTAATAGTTTAAAGAATTGATAGTTTGAAGAACCTAAATCAAGAACTAATAGTTTGAAGATCCTAAATCAAGAACTTTTTAATGCACAAGATGTAGTTTAAAATAACATATCCTTTCCCTTTTGTTTATCAGTCACATTCATTAGGTAAGTTAATAGAGCAAAATAAGAATCATTTTTTAAGATATGTCAAAAGAATATATTAAGTCTTACCTCCATTGCTAAAGCTGCTGTCTGTTGGTCATAATGATTCAGAAGATTAGGCATGAAGGTAGTATTGTAAGGCAAATCTTGGCACATCCTCAAGGTAATAGGTTCACAAGAAAACAAACTGTGCCCACCTATATGCCCCACAAACATAGTTAAGGGCCAAAGATAGAAGACGATCCAACTCATAGCCATCCTTCTTGAATCTGAATGAGATTTGGACGATCAGGCCTATGATATGTATTTTAGATCTTTGTACACCTGCAGGTCCCAGCTTGAAGAAGTGCTCTTCTATATTTTACTATTAAGTTCTTCAAACAGTCAAATACTCTTCGCACTGTCAGAGGTTTGTTACCTTGATCTCACAAAAGGCATTTGTTTTTGGTTTCACAATACAGGAAAATGACATCATCTTGTCTCTTCTTTTCATTTTATCACATAGGGCACATTTGGCCAAACATATCAAGGTGATCAACCACATTCCCAAACAACAGATTCCATCTTAGAAGAGCTATTTCTTCCTTTGACTGGAATACCTGAAAAGTATTTTTTTAAATGCAAGAAATTAGTCATTTCCTCTCAAAACCTTTGATAAGCTTAATGTTGTAGGATTGAAATTCACTATATAAAAATAGTTGCATTTTTATACTATAACAAACTGTCAGAAAAAGAAGCAAGCAACATTTCATGAGAAATATCATACTGACCTAATAGATAAAATATATAAGTATTTCATAAAAGATATGGTATAGTTTCTCTACCTTATCATTTACGTTATAGATATACTAAAACAATTCTTAAACAATACTTAAAATATAAAATATTAAATGTCAACTGTAACTGGAAAAAAGTATTTGAAGGTAAACTTTCTTCCCTTTTAGTTGTTTATATAACATATGGTTTAATTTGTCTATATTGAAGCAATTTTCATTTACCACAGCTGTAACGGGCTCATTTTGAACAAATTTCATGCTATTGTCCTAAATTTTATTTAAATAGCTTTCATACTTACAAGCTATTGAATTTAAAATTTATTGTATATGTCTTAATCATTAATAGTGCATTTTTACATTAAATGATTTGGCAGAAGGTATCCAAAGAGATGAAATAGAGCCCTAGCCAATTTGGCTCAGTGGATAGACTACCAGCCTTCGGACCAAAGGATCCCGGGTTCTATTTCTTATCAAGGGCACGTACCTTTTGGTTGCACTCATCCCAGGCCCTGGCCTTGATCGGGTGTGTGAAGGAGGCAACCAATTGATGTGTTTCTCTCACATTGATGTTAGTCTCTATCTTTCTCTCTCTCTTCCTCTCTCTCTGAAAGATCAATGGAAAAAATCCTCCGGTGAGGATTAACAACAAAAAACACACACACAAAAAAAAATGAGATGAAATATAAACAAACCAAAAATTTATGGATTCAGCCCTGAGCAGGTGGCTCAGCTGGTAAAAGCATCCTCGTGTACACCAAAAGGCTGCAGGTTTGATTCCCAGTCAGGGCACATACCTAGGTTTCAGGTTCAATCCCAGTCAGGGTATGTATGGGAGGCAACCAATCAATGTTTCTCTCTCACATCGATGTTTCTCTCTCCCTTCCTCCCTCTCTAAGAATCAATAAAAAATATCATTGGGTGAAGATTAAAAGAAAAGGTAATGGATTCAAGCTTCTTAGTAGCTGTGTGAATGGGAAACATTGCATATCTTCTCTAACTCAGAATTTTTTTCCTGAAAATACCATCTCTCTAACAAAGATTATATAGATAATCCATGGACACAGACAATAGGGTGGTGAAGGCCTGGGGTGGGGTGGGGGGGAGAAAAGGGGGGTTTAGAAGAGGTCAACGCAGGGGGCAAAAAAGGAGATATATGTAACTTTCAACAATAAAGACTTTTTAAAAAGAAATAAGTATGTGACACTTTCAACAATAAATATTTTTTTAAAGAGATAAGGTATATAAAAGTATTCTATAAATGATAAAGCAGCATCAAAGATTAGGTACCCTGTTTCCCCGAAAATAAGACAGTGTCTTATATTAATTTTTGCTCCCAAAGATGCGCTAGGTTTTATTTTCAGGGGATGTCTTATTTTTCCATGAAGATGAATACGGTACACATTTATTGTTAAATGAAAATAAAGGAAATTTATTACCTGTATACGATACGGTAGTACGGTAGTTGTCAACACAAACCAGACAAACTGTGAATCCTATAGTATCAAGAATTTACTCATTTATTCAATGACAATCATGTCATCATTTTCTGGAACATCATCATAACAATCCAATTCCTGAATTTCCTGGTGAATTTCTTATGACTTCATTTCTTTCAGAATCAGGGGACCAAATCTCTCATGTTTAGCCCAGGGGGGCCTTATTTTCGGGGAGATGCCTTATATTTCACTCAGAAGGAAGCCTGTAAGTAGGTCTTATTTTTGGAGGATGTCTTATTTTTGGGGAAACACAGTAGTTTCTTTTAACCCATTGTACGCCATAAGCATCTGTAGACACAAGTGGTATGGACCTTCCCCACACTCCACGCACATCTATAAAAAAAAAAAAAATGTTTTCCCTAAGTGGCAGCCCTGACCAACTTTAAAATCATTTCTCGTGAGAATTTTCAGCTGAAAATATTCAAGAATACCCGAATTGTGAGTAATATATTTTTATAATATTCATTGCAAGTTGATTTTTTAAATTAAATTCAAAATATTATGGCGTGTGGGGATGGTTTCCATTTGGATGTGTGACAGTTAACTAAATTACAGTTGATATATAGGCTACCTTTTCAACCAATATTGAATTGGCAAATAGAAGGCTCTAAAAGAAATATCAAAAATTTTTTCCCAATATTGCATATCTTTTCAGATAGCACAAAAATTTACTGCCACACACAGATGCAGAAATACTTGATCACAAAATCTTTTATTACATAGCCAGGCTGCAGAGAATAAAAATTATCCTTAGAAACTCAAAGCATGAATAGGAATAATTCCCAGTTAATTTTCACTAATTTTTAGAATCTTTGACTTGCCTCTACTTTTCTATTGGCAAAAATACTTATTTCATTTCATTTGGGGGTGAGAGGGTGTGGGTGGACTGGAAGGCAAGCTTGGTAGGAAAAAAGCATATTCTAAGTTATACTGTACTTTCATTTGGTTTAGTGATGATTTAAAATTTGTTTTCATTGCATTTAGTTTCACATGCATGGGACATTTCTGTGTTTGTTGTAGAAAGCCTACTTTGGGAAAACATGAAAAGATCAGGTTCAGAAATTCTCAGAGACCAAAGTTAATTAAATAACTTAAATATGAGGGCTCATGACAGCTTAAGACCTTGAGACCTAGAACTGGTTTGGTTTAAGCAGGGCATGAAACTGTCCTTTGTACACTACCAGTGATTAGGACCTCTGCATCACAACTTCTAGTTATTAGAAAAAAACTATTTGGAGAAAGTAAAGGAATGGCTGAATCTTCGCACTTTCTCGCTAGTATGTGGTCATGGGTAGTGGAAGAAAAAGGGGAAGTGTGTGGCCTCTAGAATTAGTAGCACTAAAGTTATGAGCACTCCCTGCCCCAAACACGTAATTTCTCTATACCAAAATTTCTAAATCAGAATCTTTGTAAAAGCTTCCTGGCCTACCATATCTTTTTTCCTCCTTCAAGCTGGCCCCAGAAAAGTGAAGTCTGGCCATAGGAAACTGATATTAAACAGCTATTTATATTAATATTTAAGCTTAATGACCATGCAACACAGTAATAATTATGCATATCATTAAATATGTGTCAAATAACTGCTGAAAGCTTTATTTGGTTACACATTATAACATCCAAATAAGTGCAGTCTGTAGTTTGTTGCTTATATAGCATGTTCATCTACTTGCAACTAAAAAAAAAAAAATTTAAGGGAACATTGTTCCATATTAAATATGCATATAATAATCCGAATCTCAAATATTTCACTGGATAAAACTATTTTTTCAAGAAGTGATGAGTTTCAAATTTATGGTTCAAAGACGATCATATAAAACTTGAGGAAAAGCCTGGCTAGTGAGGCTTAATGGCTGAGCATCGACCCACGAACCAAGAGATCCCTGGCTCAATTCCCAGTCAAGGCACAGGCCTAGTTGCAGGCTTGATCCAGTAGGGGGCATGCAGTAGGCAGATGATTGATGTTTTTCTCTCTCTCTAAAAATGAATAAAAACATACTTAAAAAAAAAAAATTGCCCTGGCCGGTTTGGCTGAGTGGATAGAGTCAGCCTGTGGACTCAAGGTTGAATTACGGTCAGGGACATGAACCTTGGTTGCGGACACATCCCCAGTAGGGGGTGTGTAGGAGGCAGCTGATTGATGTTTCTCTCTCATTGATGTTTCTAACTCTCTATCCCTCTCCATCTCTGTAAAAAATCAATAAAATATATTTTATTTTAAAAAAAACTTGAATTAGAAACTGGGCAATAACTCTCTGGATCTTTAAAACTAGATGAAATTTGGCAGCAAAGCTTCCCACCGTCTTATAAGCTTCCTTTATACCCTACAACATCCATATTACCACATATCAAAACTTTTATAAAATCTATTATGTTTGGGCTAGGAAAATAATCTTAATATATCAAGATTGTAGTTTATGATTATTAAAATAAATAAGAAAAAAAGTCGAATGCAGTGAGACAAAATGAGAATAGTAAAAATATTAAAGAATTGCCTGGCCAGTGTTGCTCAGTGGTTGAGCATCAACCCATGAGCCAAAAGTTGATTCCTGGTCAGGGCACATGCCTGGGCGTCAGGCTTGATCTCCAGTAGAGGTTATGTAGGAGGCAGCTGATCGATGTTTCTCTCTCATCAATATTTCTATCTCTTTCCCTTTCTCTGTCTCTAAAAAAATCAATATAAACATATTTTTTAAAATATATTTTTATTGATTTTGTACAGAGAGGAAGGGAGAGAGAGAGAGAACTAGAAACATCGATGAGAGTCATCGATCAGCTGCTCTTGCACACCCCCTACCGGGGATATGCCTGCAACCAAGGTACATGCCCTTGACCAGAATCAAACTCGGGACCTCTCAGTCCCCAAGCTGACGCTCTATCCATTGAGCCAAACCGGTTTCGGCAATATAAACATGTTTTTAAAAAATGTACATGCCCCCCAAGTCAGCGGTTCTCTACTTTTAATATGTAGCAGATTCACCAATTCCCCTCACAGGTCAAAGAAATTTGAATTTCTGTAGAATGACATGCATTCTAACAATTATCTCAGGTACTGTTACAAATGCTCCATAAGTCACGTTTTGAGAAATGCTGTCCTGAAGTAGAATAATTAAAAAGAGCATAAATATACCTGAGTCTGATTATGTGCTTAGCAAACATAATATATAAAATGAATTTTAAAAGATAGAAGCAGCTACAGAATAATAGAAAGATGGGAAAAGGTCATTAATTTACAAAAGAATACAAATAATCAACACATGAAAAGATATTCAACTTGAATAACAAAAAATGCAAATATGAGATATATCAACTGATTTTCAATACTGAAAA